CGCACCCGCACCCGCACACGCACACGCACCCGCAGACGCACCCGCACACGCACCCGCACACGCACCCACACACGCACCCACACACGCACCCACACACGCACCCACACACACACACACACACACACAAGCACACTTTGGTACGGCACGAATGGCTGCGAGGAGCGGCTGACTGGACCAGGTCGTTGTCGTCCTTGTCATCGTCGTCGTTTGCCAGATAGTGGGGATACGGGTCCTGTCCCCAGCAAGTTGGGACTAAAGGTCCGGTCCCTGGTGCTAAGTAGTGAGGATACGGTTTTCTGTCCTCGGCACAGAGTTGGGGATAGGGTCCAGTCGCTGTTGAGGATTGGGTCCCGTCGGAAGGTGCAGGTACATGCCGGAGTGTCCTCCGTCATCCCCCCCTTACTCACATAGCTTCGTTGGGCATGGTAGTGAGGAAAGGCCATGCCCCCCCTGCACAGACGCCTGTCCAGGCGTTTACACACACACACAAACACACGCGCGCGGACACAAATGTACATACAAAATCATACAAAAGATGTGGAGATAGATAGAGTCCGGGTGGCTGTGGAAATGCGACTTTGGATGCTTTCTGATTTCGCTTTTTTCTTTTGTTGGCGGGTTGCTTCATGTTATGATTCTGTTGAGACATTCACATAAAATGTTGCCTTGTACAATCCATCAGAGAACTAATGGTAGTACATATCGACATATTGTTTGTGCGAATGCTGTCGGCATGGTGCAGCCACATAATACTAAACCTGCGGTCATATTCTTGGAAATTCTTCGTAGTTTCCATGCTCGCACATGGCACACTGCCCTTGATCAATCGCCATACGAGAAATACTGCATGTAAGCGGTATTCATGAGATTATTGGGGCCCCGTTCTGTATGTAATGTATGTATGTATGTATGTATGTATGTATGTGCATATCTATCTATATGTAACTATGTGCGTACATACATTTTTCATGTAGAGAGTCGTGTGTCGGGAAGTCTGTGCTCAGAGAGCAGATCCCGTGCTTCTCGGGGAAGGTTGCAGACACAAAATCATGTCGTGCTGGCTTCTTTTTTTCTTGTTTACTTGCTTGTTTGCTCAAGCACGTGGCTTCCTTCTCCATTCTTCTGCCTGTATTCCTGCTGTGTGTTACCGATCTGTGTATTGTGTGCAGTTTACAACTGGTGCACGAGGGCATATGTTTAGATGTGTGCGTTGTTGGCACTGGTGGCATACAGGGTGTTAACCTCTATCGAAAATCAAGTGTGTGTTTGTTCATGTGTGCAGTGAGTGCCAATCTTTTCTGTTGTGGGCTTTCACTGCTGTTTGTTTCAGTTTCCTACTCAGGTTACAGATGTGCAGGTGTGTATGTCACATGTCCATCCTTTTTAAAGCCTGGCTTTCAAACTCATGTGCCTGTGATTTTGCAGTAGACATGGGCGAAAGCAATCGGATGTCTCGCGCTGCCTTGCCTGAAGGATCTGACGTGGTTGCCCGTTGGTCCCACATCATCGTGGGAATACCACTGGGTCGTTCTGAAGGCCATCTTTATAGGCATTTCGGACGGCTTCCACGGCATCTTCGTGGACGTGCCACGTCATCGCAACCTTATGCATGTCCAGGATTTGCGACATGCAGTCGTGTTGCTGCTTATGTTGTTCACACATCAAAATGCCCCCAGGGTTGCGTGCGAGCCTTTCCTCTGAAGGTTCCGGTGGCAGTCGTCACAGAACCGAAGGCGACGTTTCGACACTTGTGGAATATCGCGGACACTGGCATAGATGTGGTGAATCTGTTCAAAGCAGGTGACTCGGCAAAGCAAGCACTGGATCTGGCAGCTTGTAGAAAGCTTGTTCATCCAGTGCTGCTTCTATGTAAGTTGGACCTGGCAGCAGAAGCTGAGATCGACGGCAGTCGCCAACTGAGCCAATGGACGATGGACAGTTTAAGGGTAATTTCGACGACTTCGAAGCCACGGTGCTGCTGCTTCGGCTGATCTTGACAGTACTGTTCGGTTGTCTCCGCCTCACGGCCATGATTGCGCGGACGCCGGACAAGCCCTGCGATGAAAGTGACGGGGACGAGGAGGAGGACAGCGAGGACAGGAGGCTTCTGCATCGTACCAGCAAGAGGCGTCTGAAGCACCAACGCTTGCCTGTTGCCACCAAGCTAGTGCATGGGAGGACTCCAGCGGCGACGATCGATGTGCTGCCTTACTTTAGAGACAAAGATCTTGATGCCAATGAACGCTAATGAAGACAAAACTTCACAAATGTATAGCTCCTCCACGGGGTTGCTCAGGCAGTCCAGTCTAGCTTCGACTGCCGTAGCAGTCCTCGACAGTTCGTGCATCGGAGCCCAAAGCATGGCTCCTCAACATGTCCCTCAAAATAGAGGTGCCGGCTGGCCATGCTAACCTAAAGCGGCACCTGAACTTGTTCGCTGCAGCCAGGACCCCATGCTGTGCATGCGATAGCGGGTGCAAAGCCAGCTACAGTGGGTGCTGCTTTCGCTCAGTCGGAACGGCCTGCGTCCTGGTTGGGGCTTCGGTGCGAAAGCGCTTGTGCAACGCTTCCGTGCGGCATGCCCCCTCAAGGTGGCCACTGGCGACTGCGCTGTGTTCTGCGCCTGCAGGTGCTGGGTTCTATGCCAAAGCAACACTGTCATTGCACATGCTGATGAGGCTTCGCGCTGCGGCGCAGTCACAAAAGACGGCGCCCCTGCCTGGCAATAAACAATGAGGATTCTTTGGATGTGACACACAAGTACAGGGACCAAAAGCCACAGGCTCAGACTTCTTGAAGCCATGGCAGGACATCTACATGGATGACTTTGTCAGCCCAGGCCAGGAGAGCTAGATCCCCCTTACCATGTCTGCAGCAGGTTAAGTCTTAAGTCTAACGTGTCTCCTTCTAGACAATTGAATGATACAGGAACTAGTTCTTGAGTAAAGTTGTCCGAAATCCAGGTCAGATGTTGAGATGTCGACGATCTGAACAGCGTCATCGCCTGTTGCCTGTTCTGTCGAGTGGCTGGTCGCGTACTGACGGTCGGTGACTGAGAGTGCCCTCTTGAGGTTTCTCGATCGTTCCCTGGACCTGTAGTGCACCTTCATAGTCTGCGAATACATTCGAATACCACCAAAGCAGTGTGCAAGACAGAGAGGCATGATACAATCACGTTCTTCATTTCCGTGTCCTTGCATGAGCTTCTTCCGAGGCTTGCCGCGAGGCCAGGATGCAGGCGCCGGTCGGGGGCCACCGTTTTTGGTAGGACCAGCCGATACCAGATTTTTGGGTGCAGGCTTTCAGTTCCAAAACATGGGCCCTCTCGTTGGATGCCCACCATCGCTTTGGAGTCCCGGCGGCAAACGTTGCTCTGTTCTTGCCCTGTCCCACTGCGCACAAGCTCGGCTACACCGGGCCGAGGATTTACTTTGTCGGCAGCAGCGCAGTCCCAAGTCGCTGCCCTTGGCAGGTTCAAGAGGCAGGACGGCAGGACCATAAGATGGTGCTGGACATGCACCCTCAGCCTCAAAGCTTTTGCATCCTTCTGCATCCTGTGAGGTGATGCTACTTTTTGAGCAAGTTTGTGACTCCACGCGGCTGGGCACGAGACAGCCAGTGGCGAGGCCACACATCTTCAAAATGCTGTGTGCGGCCCCAGGCAAAGCTACAGCCTGCTAACCAGCGCTTCCGGCTGCATTGCGTCAGAGCATTGGCGACAAGACAGCGGGTCAGACAAGGACGAGCTTCCGATGCAAGCAGTAGCTTTTGGAGCCAGTTGAAGATATATCGTGTGCAGCCCAAAGCCAAGTGCTCAGGTACCACCAGGTGGTCCGACGGATCGTCTGCAGCAGCCTGCCAGTGAGTGCTCTGTTAGCAAGCCTTTCCAAGGAAACGCACCTGTGAACGGCGAATGACTGATCAGTTGCGGGGTGAACTGGGAATGTGTGCCAAGGTGCTCAGCCTTAACTGCCCAAGAAGTTCTCGGACGGTATGACCTCGTTGTAGCCACGGACGAGGGGACACGGGCCCGCGTGGCTGCTTTGGCTGCCCCTCAGCTGCCTCTTTGAGCTTCCATCAGCGGAAGAATGCATTCGCTGGACGATGCTTGGTTGTAGGGTGGTGACGACGAGCGGCTCTGCTGCTTGGCCGACTTCTTGGACGTGCCCTGACGGACAAATGTGACAAAGCTGCTTGACAATGTTGCTTGCAGAAGCTTTTCAGCCATGCCTTAAAGCGAAGATGGCACCTGTGTGTGAAGGTGTGCTCGGTGCAGGACCAGATTTCCCAGCTGCTTCGCACGCATGGAAACAATAGTGCAAGCTTTCCTTGGTGGAGCCGTAGTTACCATGGCATGATGACTCCTCCCTGGTGCTAGGCTTCAACTCCTTTGGGATCGGAAGGGCCTTGCTTGTGCTGTTCGGCCAGATGCGCGGAGCGTTGGCCGCGCCAGGTGGGACATGGTCGCGCTCGGGGAATCGTGCAATAGATGTAACTCCGCGCTGGGACGCAAGGAGCTTAGCAGACCTGGACGATGTGGACAGCTCTGACTTGCTGCTCGTGGCCCAAGCGTTGGCGGTGGCAGGCCGCTTTGTCACGCAGCGTCGTTCCCAAACCTGAGCACCTATAGCGTGACCGCGAAACTTGGCAGGCTTGGAACGTGTCCTGGAGCAATAGTGTCGCAGAGTTGCATACTCACGTCTAGCATGGCACAGGCCTGTTGCCGCAGAAGATACAGCAAGACAATTGAAGTTGACTTCACATACTGGATGAGCCGAGGCTTTTTGATCTCGCAGTTTCCACAGGGCTTGAAGGTGACCTGTCACTGTCGAATTAGGGGTGGTAAAACGGATCGGGTGCAGGATGTGCAGGGGATTTTGAGCTCCTGGTTCAGCCGAGGACAGGCTCCACCCTCATCTCGTTCCCAAAGGTATCTGAGAGCGGAAAAACTCCTGCAGGTTCCCAGTTCCGGTGGGAAGCTCGGATAGCCGGCTCCCCTCATCCGAATCCAAAGCTCTTTCGCTTTTAAGACAGGAGCGAAGAGAGACCAGACGGGCTTGGCAGTAACGTTAAAGCTTCGTAAGCAATCAATACAGCCCCTGTTCAGAGTTTCAAGGCCTGAAAGGGGCAAGGGATGGCTCAGTTCTCCGTGTCTTGCCTGAGCCCGTCAACAGAAGTGGCCCTCTGGACCCGCGTTCCTGGGCTGCACCCGTTTCAATTGCGTAGCGAGGCAAGAGCAAATTGGCGAATAGCCCCGATGTTTGCTTTGACTGCTGCACACAGGGCTGTGCTGGATGACAGCTTCGTTCTTGTCGTATCGTCGCGATTCCCTGGTGTTGATGCCTTAGGGCATTGGAATGCGCCCGTGCTCGACACCGGTTGTGTGGGTGGCCCCAACTGTAGCAGATGCACTTCCTATCTATCTATCTATCTATCTATCTATATATATATATATTTATTCATGTCTGCACAGAGTTTGTCCTTGGCTTGGTAGATTTGTCACCATGGCGGCGAATGCGCAGTTCGATATACATGCATTTAGGTAGGTATGCATGAAGGAAGGAGTATATAATAACTCTGTATGTGCGAATGTGTGTATGTACGTATGTATGTATGTATGTATGTATGTATGTATGTGTGCATGCGTCATCGATGTATATACAAAACGTGCATGCACACAAGCATGTGCAGTCAGAAACGTACAAGCACATGTAGCACGCCTTTAAAGATGCACTGGGCCATCGCATTAGTACACATAGCCTTTCGGTCTAGTTCCTCAGAGCTTGGGGCTGCCAGGCGCGGGCATCCGGACTTCCGGTCTTCATGGCCGATGTTGCACGTAACCAGGTCCGGGCCTCTGGGATCCTGTTTTCTGCCCTTGGAAGTCCTTTTGAAGCCGATTGCAGGTGCCCGAAATCCTTCCAGATTCAAGATCGGTCTTACTTAGATGTATGCTCAAGGTGTGGGCATTTGCGCCTTTGCGTTGGGGTAACGGCCCTGTCGCCCAATGGCACAGCGGCTGCTGAAGCAAGCTCCAACATGGCGGTCCTTGCACGTGGCCAGCCTTTGGGCAAAGCAAAGGAACAGACCAATCTCGTGGCTCCAACTGCGAAGTTGTGGGAGCGAAAGCGATATGGCGGGCGTTCACAAAAGCCCAATTGTCCAGCTCCTGTGGAAGGAGAGGTCGAACTTACAGCGAGTCACTGCAGACGGGGGCAAGATGCAGGAGCAGCTCTTGACCAAGACGGCCAGAGACTCCCGCGTTGCTGTTTCCTATAACTTCAAAGATGATTCGCTTTTGAAGGAGCAGTACGCCAACTTCAACGGCTTGATACAATTTAGTAAACTTTTCGAGGACTTGGATGCTTTAGCCGGCAATGTCGCGTTTAAGCACTGTGATGACGACGACCCGGAGACCAGAATGCCGCACTTGGTCACAGCCTCTGTAGCGGTGGCTGCACACAGCATGCCTCTTTTGTACTAGGCTTTAGTTTCCCAGGTTGGGCTGGCTGCGAGTGTTTGAGCAAGGTCGACCGAATCCGTTTGGCACCTTCAATTGCCATTACACTGGACCAGAACTACGAGATGTCTGGCCAGGTCTCATGGGTAGGCAGTTCATCGCTGATCATCCACATGAAGCTGACGCGTGAAGCTGATGCTGTCGACGTCCTGGTGGCCAACTTCACCTTTGTTGCGCGGGACATCATGTCCGGGAAGAGCTGCCTCCTCTCTTAAACAGTTCGTGTTGACTGCAGTCATGGCACAACAATCCGTGTATGGATCTGCTTCTGAAGATGCAGCGGTGCCGAGGCAAGGTGAACCGCCTGGAACCAGAAACTCAGGCATGTGTCCTTTGCATGCCAGACTTTCCAGTTTCTGTCCAGTGCGTGGATTCAGGAGGAGAAGAGACTCTTCCAGCTTGCCGATGACAAAAACAAAGCCAGGCTCGACTCACGTGAAGGTCGTCCATAAGGAATCAAGAGGCCTCAGGCTTGAAAGTGCCTCCCGATGACAAGCACCAGTAGGGCGTAGGGGGTGAAGGACGGCCTTTGCAGCATTTCCAGTCAAGCACGCTTTAATTTCAAGGAGTAGCTGGAAAGTATCGTGGAAACAACAGAGGAAGACTAGAGCACGAGAGGGACGACCGCATTGCCGTTTGCCACTCTGCTTCTGGCTTTTCGCCACTGTCAGGAGACTGGCTCGCGCAGCTGGGAAGGCTGCTGCAGGTACGGAGGTGGATGCAACCCAGGCGGCTTTGGCCAAGGCGCATTTAGATTAATTTCAAGTCTGCATGGTAAATTTTTTGTAATCGTCTGGCGCAGTTACGCCGGCGCCACCACCAGCACCATCACCGCTACCTGAAGAGAGGGTTTTGGAAGCATATAGAAATATCATCAACCACACGTACTGCCGGGAGGAGAAGACCGCACGGAGACTAGCTCAGAGAAGCCTCACACCGTGGCCCCGCTAGGATCTGAGACCCGGGGATGCAAAACATGGCAAGGGGGAGACGCTCGAGGCATCTAAAGTCTGGCAGGGCCACACTCTTCGGCCCAGTACCGACTTTAGGGACACACGACTAGTACGACTAGTATGAGGGCTCCTCGCGCTCTCGTCCGTCTGTCTGGTCTCCAAACTCGGCCTGTAAATTCTACATCTTATACGTACATGGGCGGAACGATTCTGAAGGTGGTGCCTTCAGAACGCAGGAGGCCATGATTTTGGGGAGATGCCTGCAAAACCCAAAACGCCCAAACAGACAGAAAGCAACAACGTTTCCAACCGACAGGCAAACACAGTACCAGTTTGTTATTCTACGACCACCACTGTCGCCACCACTCGGTCAGAGCTACGTTGCTGCAGGAGCTGCTGGATCAGGGGCGGCTGCTTCAGGAGCTCACATGGAACCCCATTGCATGTAGGTAGAGAACAAGAGCAGATGATTAAGGCTCACGTGATGTCAGGACATGCCTGGACTTGCAGTGGGCGATGCCGTTCTCATTCACCAGACGCAGCGAGAGACGATGATCATTTGCCAGCCACAACAGCGCAACACCGCTGGACGCATGTTTGGTGGTTACCTCATGAGGCCGCATGCACCAGCTGCATCGGGAATGTGCAAGGCAGCCTCAGGAATCTTCTCATCTCCAGTCGGACCCTGACAAAGCAGCCCCGTCAGCAGACTGGTTTTGAAGCGCAGCAGAACCCCTCTCGCTCGCCCCCTCGCTCTCCTTCTCTTCTTTTCTTTCTCTCTCTCTCTCTCTCTCTTCTATCTTTCTCTGCATGCTGGAGAAGTGATGCTCCGTCTTTTTTGTCTGGACTTCCACAACGGCGCTTTCGATAGCACCAATGTGAACTCTTGCCCATCCTTCCCTGAACCACATCGCGGCCGGCCCGTGTCAGAGCCGAGCAGAGTATCGAAAGTCTCTGCCAGCCTTTGCCTCTCGGGAGAGCCTTCCTCCGCTTCTCGCTTGTCGCGCCCTTCGTTTTTTTTGGTGCCCCGCCTCCCCCCCCCTTTCCCGGGGTGGCGTGATCTTGCAGTGTCGCGGGCGACGGACATGCCTCCGCCAGCAAGAAGGAATGCCATCCTGCAGGTGTGCCTATCGCTGTGCATTTCCAACGGCGTATATGTTTGCTGGGTCCTTCCCTCACTTCGTGGAGGTGGATGAGGCAAGGCCGCCCTTCAGATCCTGAGGTTCCTGCACCGTACCAGCAAGAATGTCAGTGCCATTAGTCTCACAGTCGATAGACTCAGTCATGGGCTGGCTTGCCCCATGCCTCTGCTTCGGAGGTCAGCTTCATTCATCCTGTTGAAGTTGGAGATATCTGTGAGTTCAACGGTTCCTTAGCTTGTGGTTAATGAGGATCTGACAGCTCCGGAAGGCCTTCAGCGCTTTGCTCACCAAGGACGGGTCATGCTGACCTACACGAAGGTGAGGCCGATCCTGCATGTGGAGGTCACTGCATCTGTACTGAAGCCTGACCAGCTCCTTGGCATGAGCCGCAGGCTTCCCCCGGTGCCATGAAACGTAATCAGACCTGACCGATGCAGAGCCAAGGAAATCTAGTCTGGTCACCAATGAAGCTTGGTATGGGATATGTAATTTTTATTCTTTGCAACAGACTCTTTAAGGGGGGGCCAGTAAGGGGGCAGTGTAGCTCGCTGTCCCTGCTGCGCCCAGGTCTTCAACTTCGTCTTCGAGTTGAGGCCGAAGCCTGGACAAGCTCTGCCGGTCATCAAGCGCGTCTTCCCGGCAACGAACACGATAGCCCAGAGAGTGGCCAACCGGCTGCATGCATTGCTTCAACCTGAAATGTCCAGAGGAAGAGGGAGGGGAAGCGACAGACAGAGAGAGACAGGACCCGAAATCGACTTGCACACAGTGCAACGAACTATGGAAAGTACCGCTTCTTGTGAGGAGTCACGGAAGCACGCGTGTGGCCACGCTTGCAGTTCGAACTTCGAACCAAAGCCCGACAGGAGAGACAGTTCAACTCTTGAGGGCGAAGGGTCCGTGGCGTAACTCCTAAGTCTTAAGCTTAAGCCCTAGAGAAAACGCCAGATTCCAGATACATTTGCGATCTTTTGCCACGAAAGCTGCTCAATGAGGTCGCCATAATGGCGCGGCACGACGCGTAGGCCACGATGCCTGGAAAAGACGTGAGAGTGGGAGTAGGATGTCCACTCAACGGCAGCCTTTGTAGCCTTTGTCGCCTTTGTGTTTTTGTACAAGCACGAGAATTTCAGACGTGCGCACCCGGGCAACCTCAACAGGACCTGTGCAGCACACACCGTTCCCAAGACAGCAGTCCCGAATTCCGCCCGTATGGATGTACAGGTGTGGCATTGCGACATCTTCCCATGCATGTTGGACTGCTGTGATCGCTTTAAATTCGTACGCAGTGGTTGCCATGCAGTGCCACCAAAAGAGCACCTTGGGCCACGTGACCTCTTCATACCCCAACACGAACCAGCCAGACGGTTCAAAGTCAGCAGGTCTTGGACGTCTTCAAAATTGGGCAGGCTTGGCCGAGCTTATTGGTCCTCGCCTCTTGCAGTGTCTTTCAGGCTCGCGTCGTGGTGGTGGCCAACGAGAGCCGGAATCGAGCAAACCAGGTTTCGGAGGGCAATGGGAGACCGAAAAGCCATCGACTGTGTCACCGAAGGTGGCTACTGCCATCCGAGCCAAGTTTCCAGAGCTGCCGATGATCGTCAGAGCAAAGGTGGGCCAAACTCATCGCCCAAAGGCCCCAATCATCCGCCTCTGAGAGCGGTGGCTTCGGCCAGGACTCTGAGCACAAGCAGTGGTTAGAAAGCACGCTGGGCGTCAAGGTGGGAACTGCTTTCTTTCTCAGTTGCGAAGAACCAGAGGTGTATTGAGATTTTCACGGCAAAAAGCAAAAGAGTTCCTGACGGCGCTAATTCTAAACTCTGCCAGGCCCTAATGCCCGCCATGATCGCTGTGCGCACGGACCTGAGTTTCCCATGAGGCCATGAGGTAGATGGCTTGAAGAAGCCTTTGTTAACAGGCTTCGGCACCGAAGTCATGCAGCTGCTAGGCTACCCCGAGGCAACTGTTACCACTGTGTGTGTGACCCTAGGGAAGCGTGAGAGTTGAATCATTTTCGTCCAGGATGAGGTGAAGGCTCTGCTGCAGGCCCAGAGCTCCAAAGGTGGAAATCTGCTCCTTGTGTCGTGTAAGACTGGACTATCAGGAGCTGTTGAATTCGGCGTTGGTCGGAGCCTTAGCCATTCAAGCCAGGTGGCACGCAGATTACAGCGTCCCGAGCGCAGGCTGAGATTTGTGGCGAAAAGGGGACTTACCTGACCGCCGTGTGCCACCAAGCGCTAGCCGATGACCTGCAGTCCACGCTTCCTGTGTCTGAGAACCGCTCAATCCTCGGTTGCTAGGAATCACTCAGGATGAAATCGTTGACGCCGGCAGCGAGACGCAGGGGAAGCAGAACGACAAGGGCAGCCAGGGGCTAAACAGCTCGTTCTGAATCGTCCTGAATCACTTGGCTCACCTACAGTATCACACGTCCAATGGCAATGGCCCAAGGTGAGACTTGAGTTGTTCCTGGCATACCTTGCGCGACTGCCGTGCAGTTTCGCATCAGTTCTTCGCTGATGACATTTTACTGCCACTGTTCTCTCGCATTCGAGGGAGGTAGCTGAGGAACTTTCCTCGTATGACTCTGCACTAGGATAATTCGCAGAATGTCATCGTCAGCCCTTGCAATAGAGCTAACGAGCGGTCTGAAAACAAGACAGGGTGCGGTGCCACGACGCGCGAACCTCTTGTCAAGTGCGAATTAAGGTGGGGAGGAGTATGTGTCTGCCTAGGTTTATGCGAATACATCAGCGCACACTGGCTGTGGGAAGCGTGCTCAATGCTCACGGGTTTCCTCGCCGCTTCCGTTGAAATGAGTGAGGAACTTGTCGTAGCATTCTGCAACACTGTCCTCTTGCAGTGTTCTTATGGCGATGCTACGAAAAGTTTCCAAACACCACCCTTTCGTTAACTCAGGGTGGTAACACCGGCCGTGTCCAAGGCTGTGAGTTTCCACACGACATCATGCTGCGCAAAGGTTGACCCAACAATACCTAAGAATGTAAGTTGCGAGATCTAGAGACTGGGACTTGGCCGGGTTTATCAACGAGTTTCCGTTTCTTCGTGGGATTCCTTAATGTCCGATGCCGGCGCTACAGTATTTCAACCGAGACTGGCGCGAAACTTGAAAGTACCATGAATAATCTTAACTGGTATATGATTGTCCTGTGTGGGAAGCCGTTATCTCCGTTTGATTTCGTCAGAGTTTCTACACAACTACCAGTAACTACCACGGTTGAGGATCTCCGGAGTAGGGTTAGGAGTTGCTGATCAGGTGAGGAATATCCGAATACAGCCGCAAGTCGCCAAGCGCAGGTTGGCGACTGCTTTGCGCGAATCACGGTTCCACTCTATGAGGCGCCCTCTGATTCTGATGTGACAAGTGCAAAAGGATTGGCAGCGCCAAGTTGCTAAGGAGAGCCATCCTTTTCCAGAGACTCTGTGCCAGGCTTAAAGGACCTAGAGTAGTTGCACTCCGCTTATGGTGGGGATTCTCTATGCCCGACGCGGGTTAGGCCCTGGTTCAGACTACCGCGACACCGCAGCCAAGTGCATCTTAGCCGCCTTAGCCGGGTTTGAAGCCTTGCAATGTAGAGTGTTGTGTCTTCTGATTTTTCTGGAAGTTCCTCAATGATCCGGAAGTTGCTTATGCGCCCATCGGAGGCATGCGGCTCTTGAGCAGAGGCGCCGCTGTCTCTTCACTCCTTGGGCTGGCCAAGCATGTCTTGGCGTGTGCATCAGGCCCGGTGTCGTGCAATGCTCAGAGCGGCAAAAGGCACGGAGGTTTTTCGAGCCGAGTCAAGTGCCTTTGGCTCAGGGATGGGTTGTGCTGTCCCTCTTGGAAGATGCTGGAATCGCAGAAGGACGGAGTGAAAGCATGGCACCATGCCACAGCCGGGGTGCAACGACACGGATGGTAGAGGCTTGAAGCCGCGTCGAACTGACGATATTGTCGCAGCAGAAAGTGGTCGTTCTGTGCCTCAGCCTTACGGCAGGGGGAAGGGCCAAAGACCAGCGCCGGAAAAACATGATGGGGTCCGCCAATTAAGATGTTTTTTCCGCGCAGCCAGTGTTCTTCTTCGAACCAAGGCCTTCGTCTTCACATCAGCTGGATGCCTGGCTAAGAGGTTCTGAGGCAAGACCTGCGGCAGGTTGCGAAGTCTTAGTCTTGATGTCTCTTTCCGGGCAGCTGGATCCGTGAAACCTTGATCGAGATCATTCCGATGGTGATACAGGGAGAGAGATAAGCTTGGGGAAGGAATGCAGCAGTAATGAGTAATGTTTGTAACGCATGTTGGGATGCCAAATCGTTTCCACCAGCCAGTCTCGGGTTCCGTCTGCGTCCCGACGATTCAAGACACCCGGGTAACTTGCGGAGGATTCATGAAGAGATGCAACTTAACTGCTCGTTTTCAATCATGACATGATGCAGCCAGGAGTGCAAATCTGGAGTGTGTACTGTGACAAATGTGAGCTGTGAGATAGATAGCGAACATCCGGATGGACTAGCAAAGTAACTCGGCATCGAAGACACTCTCTACCAGGCGCTCCACAGCAGGTGGTGTGTTTCCACAGACCATCGTGGGCTTTCTGCGTTCTCGTTTGAATAAGTGTTCTGGCATGTAGAAATCTTCCGATGCCCAGGCCCTCCCCCAATGTGACAGTGTTTGCTTTCTCCGGGCAGCTGGAAAAGCCAACTTATTAAACCTAACCGCCGGCACTGCCCTCGCTTGCGCGCAGCGTCGTGCAGCCTGCACGTCCGCTGTGATATCACCGGCTCAAGATGTATGATGTGGTGGCGGACCGTGATGAAGCACCAGGTTCGCAGCGTTTTTCCCACAACTCTCACCATTGCTGGCTGCAGGCCAAGATGGCAATGATGTTTGTGCAGAATCTCTGGCATTGTGACGGTGTATCCGATGGTTTTCGCCATCGAAGTCGCATCAGATACCTGCACTACGGTGTTATCTCGTTCATTCCGAAGTTGCTGCACATGCAATATGTGGTACAAGATGCAAGCTGTGCCCTGCTGCCATCTGTGGCAGTGGCAGGGGCCAGAGAGGCGTGCATGTTGCTGGCGGGCCTGGTTGGCTGGTACTCCTTGGACCGAGTCACAGAGGCCAACCTATACGTCCTAGAAGATCCAAAAGTCAGTGGAGGGCTCTTCAAACTCTTAAGCTCCTTGATACTGGCTTGCTACCTCTGTCCAGTGCTGTTCTTTGGGCAAGCGCAGCTAGTGGCAGAAGGTCTTGCTGTGATCATAAGTTGCTACTACTCGCTCTGGGTGCCCTTGATGGACAGCTTCTTGGAAGCGCTCAGCATAACTTACGGTAGTGTTCGCCTAGGTTTTATGAGAATTTCGCCGTGAACCTAAGGCTCTACCGACACGACCCGCTGCGTTCATCACCTCTGGTGCCTCATGGCCTTCGTTCGACTGGCATGGGAAGGTGCAGAGCTAAATGGACCAATGGGGTACCTGGGCCCACAAATCGACTTCACAGTGAAAGGCGAACCAAGATCGAAGCCATGCATAGCTTGTGTGCAGAGTTTCAGCCGAAGAAGTGATGTCCGAGGTATTGCATCGCGCTGTCTGTGGTGGAGGGCACGATGCTGCGGGTGCTGCTTTGGTGCTTTCACAAGAAGGAGGGCTTGCAGCCGTTGAACCAGGCCGAGGCCAGAGGGTCAGGGCGAAGAACTTCGCTTGTCACGTCCTGTTGTAGATGAGTTAATTTGCTAGGTTCCGGGTTGAACGGTGCACGTCTGGGTCCAGATTAGGCCTCTGGGCTTCTCTCGGGCGAAATCGGTGTATGGCATGGGGTGCGCAGGGGCGCAGCAAGCACTCGCACGAATCAGGTCTGTGATTAAAACCATTAAAGCCTTGTTTCCGCGACAGCCGCAGTTACACATGGACAGCATCTTCATAACAACAGCGCACTAAGACTTATACTACTCAGTCATGTTCGTACATGGAGAGTCCTGGAAGACCCGGTTCTGCAAGGTAGACCTTTGCAAACGGCAGCTTCACTTGAGAAGCAGGTGCCTACATGCCTGGGTTGCGTTGGAGAGGTTTTCAGGGACAAGGTATGTATGCAGCTCCGTCCATTTCAGGATCACCTGGCGGGGGCATGAGTGAGGAAAGACGTGCCATTACTTTTCCAGTTGCGTGGGTTCGAGTTGTGTTTGTCAAAGGGGTGGTCGGATGCTTGGCTATGAATCAATCCTCATGTCTATACCGTAGGCATCATGTGCTCATCACAGCTAGTATGATGTGCTGCTGGAGCTTGCGTTTGTATTGTTGGCTTTGACCTGCCAGCCAATCACCTGTCTGGGTCTGCCTTGCTAAAGTCACCAGCCGATGTTGTCAAAGTTTCACACATCAAGTCGGACCGGAGCTGTCGCCTTTGTTGAGAACACTGGATGAATCAAATTCCAGCGTGTCCGGGCTCCAACCGTGCCTGCAGTCGAGCCCTCGGGTCAAGCAGCTGAACCTTTGTGAGCCTTGCAGCCTAGCCCGCCACGTCACGAACCGAATGCTCGGGCCCGAATCCTCGAATCAGAGCGAGGTTCCTCGATGCGTTCGCGCGGCCCACATCGACCAGCCGGCACACTTCCCTGGAGGTGCATCTTTCTGAGATGATGTGTTGCAGAGTTTATCCAGGGTCTCTGGAAATCTCTCCTGGATGGCCAGTGTTGAGCGCGGCCGTCTTCAGGAATTCGCAGAAAATGGAAAAAAAACCGCCGGTGCTTTCTTGAAGTTGGCACCCGCAGTGCGGCTCAAAACCCGGAGAACCTGGGGCCTCGCGATTTCAACGAAGCGGAGCCCCATGGGCTGGGCGGCGTCAATTGGGTCCACCGCCGCCTGTGGGCTCGGAATCGCCCCACTGATCGCCGCACGTGCAGATCGCGCTACTGGCGCAAGCTAGTTCCCCTCATGTACTGGCGCGATTCAGGGACAGGAGCACCTGCGAGTCGCCACCGCACCACACACGCAGCACGATCTCGCGCGACCCAGGTACTTTCCCCCATGTGTTGGCGGGATTCAGGGGCCACCGTGCTTCCTCCATGTATTGGTGCGATACATACCCCAGGCTGCGGCAGACTGCGTCCCCAACAATCGCCCTGCCCCGCTATATGCACTGGCCTTGGGTGCCACAGAAGCGACGCTGTTCTCAGCTTGGCCATAATCAGGATTACCCACAACAGCGGCAAGGAAACACAGGAAGTACGCGACTCGTGACATCGCATTGATTTCGTTTTCTGCCCTGCCAGCTTCGATCCAGCTTAGCGATGGGCTCCTGAGCTTTTTGATGGAACTAGTTCCAGGGCTCCGTAGCTATGCCTGGCCTCCAACCCCATGCATGCTCCATGGCAGTTGCTAGCATGACCAGTCTCACAGATTCAACGGGTCTTCAGATTTTGTTCATGTTGCACGATTAGAGACATGACCGAAAACTGTCCCCAAGTCATTAGATTGTTTAAAGCATGGCTCTGCATGGCGGGTTGGATGGAAGGATGAAATGGATGAAACGTATGTATGCATGTATGCATCCGTATGTAGGTAAATAGGTATGCAGGCATGCATGTATGCATGTATGTATGTCGGTCGCCTGGCCTCGTCGAGCGCGAGTGCTAGAATGTAGGTATGTATGCATGTATGCATGTATGCATGTATGCATGTATGTAGGTATGCAGGTAGGCAGGCAGGAAGTTAGGAAGGCATGTGCGTATGTATGTATGTATGGATGTATGGATGTATGTATGTATGTATGTATGTATGTATGTATGTAGGCGCTGGGCTGCAAGTACAGGTAGTCTGGACATCCTGGTACCTCGCCTGCCCCGTCGAGTGCGAGTGCTAAAAATGTATGTATGTATGTATGTATGTGCTAAAATGTATGTATGTGCTAAAATGTATGTATGTATGCATGCATGTATGTATGGGTGTATGTATGTAGGTATGCAGGTATGTAGACATGTAGGTATGTAGATATGTTGGTATGCAGGTATGTACATATGCATGTGTGCATGCATGTTTACACATACCTATGTACATACGTTCTCGCCTGCTCGCCTTCTAGGCGTTGAGTCCGGGTCGGACGCAGCCGATGTACATACATACATACATACATACATACATACATACACATGCACGGAGCTAGATGTCAGTAGATAGAAGATTGTAGGAAGCTTCAGAACAAGCAGATCCCGTCGAGGCCTTCGATCGCCTCTTCTGTCGCCTAGAAAGACAGGAGGCCAGAGGAAGTCATGTTCTTTCCTGGGCTTAGAGAGCTCAGGAATTGAAATCGGGAGGGTAGAGGAGGAGCCTTGCAGGCAATTTCGACACCTTGTCAGGCTTTGGGTCCGTGCGACAGCGACCGATCCGCGATTTCCAATCAACTTGCAGCCATACAAACCGAGACAACAGCGTGTCGATCCAGACACTGCTCCGCTCCAGGGTTGCATCAGCGCCTTAAGCTTGGCCTATTCCGTCAAGCGAAGTTGGCTGCATCGCAGGCGGGGCATCGAAGCTCGGAATTCAGGGTTTCCCGATCTTGGCATCGAATTCCTAAAGAGCGGGTGTTGAGGTCGGGAGGCATAGAACCCCGGGTCCGTGTTGTAGCTTGTTTTTTCTGGTTGTTGCTCGCAAGAGACCGAGCGTCAACATCCAAGCCATGCATTTCGGAGCCCTGTCAACACGACAACAGTCCCATGCTTGGAGCACCCGGGGGCTCAGCACTCTTGGCCCTTTTTCTGACACACGAAAGATGCGGCGTACTGGCTGGCTGCCTTTGCATGTCTGACAAGCTCCTAAGAAGATCCTATATACTCCAAGGTCCCCGTATGCAACTGGTGAGCAAGTGGCAACTGCCATGGTACCAATGACTAAAACCCCTGACCCTCAGCTCAGGCCACAGAGTGACCCAAATTGAGCTGTAGTCATCTTTCAGACAGGTCTTTGGCGCGCGGTCAGACGCACAGCTCACTTCCAGTTCAAGTGAGTAGATGCCAGAAAGTCCGACAGTTCAACCGGACGGACAGCGAAGTGCGAGGTCTTGCCTGTAGCTTTTTAAGCATCATCTCGACTGTCTCGAGATGTTAGGTGCTTTGGTCCTACCTGTGCTGAGGATGATGTTTTCTTACTACTGCCGCAAGCGTGACATGGCGCCGACGACTTACAGTCCGATCCAGCAAAGCTTAGCCGCTGCTTGGGGTTAAACGGGGTGCTCCTGCTCACTTGGGCCTCCGGTTATTGAAGGGCTGGTGCGACCGGTGCTCAATGATGTAGCATGGGAGTGACACCGGATGGCACTTACATTCAGGGCAGTCTATCATGAAGCTGGCTTAGTGTCCGGAATCAGGGCCTGCAAACTGGACCGAAAACCTGAACAAAAAGGTGCTTAACGGTCGATGTTGCTTATGCTCGGCTCCCCCTCAATGATTGCACACACACCGGTTGGACACCCGTCTGGACTATAATGCTCCTCCCCTCACCTAATTAGCATTGTAAAACCCAGACGGGCTGGGACCCACCGGGTTAGAGAAGAGCTGGGACCCACCGGGTCCCACCGAACCCGATTTGGGTCCCACGGTAGAGAAGAGCTCGGACCCACCACTCCCTACCAAGCCCCCGGTCGGTTCCAAAGGGCTGGGCCCACCGAGCCACACCCAAATGTCTGCAGGTCACCATGGCAAAGGTTTGACTGCAACCCTATTTCTGAGCATGTGGGCATGAACTATCATGCGGTGTGAGAAGACGACGTCGGTAAACCTGCAGCGGCAGTACGTGTCGTGACACTCGCAAGGCTGGAGGTTTCGAGGGCGCGATTTTGGGTCCAGAAAGATCTCAGGCTTCCGGCTTCATCATAGCGTGCCCCTATAGTAATGTTGCACTGTCCTTGGTGTGGGGCCCCGCCCCAACCTCCCGGGTCGGGTGGGATAGGTTCTTTAAGAGCGGTGTGGGTTGGTACTTCCTGGCCATGTAGGCAGTAGTACAGTAGTAAGACAGGCGCTGTACAGTAGTAGTAGTAGTAGTAGTAGTAGTAGGGTTGTAGTAGATGTGCAGTACAGCAGCAGTACGGCAGTAGTTCAGTCAGTAGGAGCAACAGTTGCAGGTACAGTAACCGTACAGTAATAGTACAAAAGTGGCACAGAAGGGGAACAGTAGTATAGTAATAGTACAGTAGGAGGTTCAGGGGTACTTAGAGTCTAGAGCTGTTTTGGGGGTTTTGGGGTGCCAAAACCTCGAACCAACACCCCGACCACCCCAAGATAACTACCATCCTACACTCCCCCGATCGACCACCTGAGGCCCGTTAAAAGTGAGTTTTTTCTGGCCTGCTCGCATCCTCTACTCAGCTATGAATGCAAAAAGCGTTCTGGGCGAACTGTTGGCTCATAGTAGAGGACGGCTAAAAACCATGCCAAATCCTGATTAGGCACCGGGGAAAACGCATTTACGACGGTCACCTATTCAAAGAGCGTGCAACATTGATTGCACGAGCTCGCACCTACCGTTTCAGATGCTGTGTGCTCACCCATGCAAACCGCTTCGGGAGCGTTACCGAAACTCCGAGCTTTGCTACACCTTATAGCACAGATGCATCGGAGTTGTGACGGCTGATGTCTAGTTCTCCAGCTGTGCTTCGATGAGCTTCCCGACGGACAACCAGAGATTTTGCCGGGGGTTAAAGTTGGTAAAGAAGTCCGAACTCCTAGGTCTCAGCCGATATGACTAGATTCTTTCCTTCGGGATCCGAAAACCTCGCAGACGACGACCCTAGGCACTCAAACGAAACGCGTTTCTTGGAGCGTGGTAAGGCCCTCGGTGGTCTGGCACATCTTGGAGTTCATTGGCGACGCTAGCTGTTCCGAGGACGTGGGGCGATGGGATGAATAAGAACCGTCATACCGGGCGGCACAAGACGACTCTCCGTTTGCCTCCTCCCTCCCTCTCCCTCCCTCTCCCTCTCCCTCTCCCTCCTCCTCTCCCTCTCCCTCTCCCTCTTCCTCTCCCTCTCCCTCTCCGTCCTTCCTTCCTTCCTTCCTTCCTTCCTTCCTTCATTCCTTCAGGCGGCTTAGCACCCATGCAACAGTTTGTTTTAGGTTAGTCACTCACTCACTCAGTCCAGTCAGTCAGTCAGTCAGTCAGCCAGCCAGCCAGCCAGCCAGCCAGCCAGCCAGCCAGCCAGCCAGTCAGTCAGTCACACTCACACTCACACTCGCGCCCACTCCCAGACCTAAAACCCAAACCCACACCCACGCCCACACGGTAGTACAGTGCGGGAGGCAAAAACCCACATCCACGCCCGCACCCACACTCACACTCACACCCGCACTCGCACCCACACTCAGACTCGCACTCACCCACACTCGCGCTCACGCTCACACTGACACTGTGAGCAGTAGCATCTTCCCCGGGCCCGGGCCAGAAGCCACGAGCATTGCACGAGCAGCTGCAACATCAAAAAAGATTCGCATCTCACAGCACGACCTGGCTCTTTGCAGGATGAAGCAGACGCTTCCACCCAGAAGGCCGGTCGTGCTTCGGTTTCGGCTTTCGCCTTGGGCTCGAGACCCACGCTCACAGAGGTTTTGGGAGCGGCGAGGACGCCAGACTAGAGTCGCAGCAGCTCTCTCCATTTCAGGTAGAAGTTCAGCTATGGCGACTTCAGCTTCGAGCTAACTGGATCCTGCTCGACATCATTCCACCTCCAAGCATTCCCAATCTAGGTTTCCACCAACTTCTGGAATCGGGAAATCAGATTGATATTCACCCTGCACCCTAAACCCCAAACCACAGGGAAGCCGCTAACACATGACATGCAGATTTTACTCTCCAACTCAAGAAGACCATGACCCGTCGGCAAGAAGCTATCATGTCATAAGACCGTCAATGTTCCTGGCTGTTACGGTGCATGTAGGTCTCGGAAGCTCCGGACTCAAGTTTGTGGGGGTTGTTCATCCGTGGGCAGTGCGCAAGGAATCTGCCAACAGTTCCCTGACAAGCATCGAATTTGTAAAGAGAGGGCTTTTTCACTTCTTGCAGCCTTGCTGACCGGCCAGCAACATTGGTCAAGCGATGGCTTTTCCTCGTACGGGACATCCGCAGCATCGGGAGTTCCATGCATCTAATGCCATCATGTGCACCCCGCTCGAGCATGCCATCGGTCGTCAGGTTGCAAACCGCTTTCTGTGTCGGGTGGCTATCAGAGTGCGGATCGAAAGTCCTATGTAGATGATCTTCCAGCCAGCCCCGTGACGGCGTGGTCAGAGTCCGGCGATGTCCTTGGCATGATTCTGGTACAAGCCTTTGAGCATATCTCGTGGGGGAAATTTGAGCGAGCCGGCCGCCGTCTGTTTCACAATTCCGCCTTTCAGGTAGACGCCGCCCTACCCGTGCAATCATCGGGATAGCTCGCGGCACAAGCTATTTGCCCTCCACCCTGTTTTGAAATGTACAGTCATCGACGAGGATATTGTTTTTTGTTGCAAAGTCCCGGATGCGTGACGTGCACAAAGGGCTCGTCACGCTGCGCAGCTTTTTGTTAATCAGATTTGTGCAGACACGATGTGCTTGCGATTCGCGCCCGGCAGCCAAAAGCTTTCAGGCTTCGGTCTCGTTTTGATGTGGCTTTTCCATCTATCTAACCGATGAAGCAAGGGTGAGTTTTTTCGGAGGGTCAGGAGCTAGCTAGCTGTTGTTTCCGACTGTGGCATGTAGAGGCTGCAATTAAGGTCTTGTGGTTGAGGGGGCTTGTGGGGGCACGCCGAGATCCCAAGATGATCCTGCACTCCAGAGCACATCCTGACAAGAGGCATCAGTCTTATCCACTTGTAAAGGTAGCTCTTGCTTGGGGTTCTGTCGGAGAGCTCGGGTTCGCACATGGAGACAGGCCCCGGCTGCTGAAAGCAATGCCAACCCGTGGCTCCCTGAGACGTATCTGCCCTTCTGCAGGAAGCTCTTGTTGCGTGCTTCGGGGACCCACCTATTTCTTTGCTTTGTTTCCATCGCCTGTAGTCTGTTGTTGTGTTTATCTGACTCATGCCCTTCCAGTCACTAAGATTTGGCCGCAGCCTCTTTTGGCTTTAGCGGGCTGCAAAGATGGAGCCCCCAGCCACGCCGCCACACAAGAGAAAGTCGCGTCCCCAATCACGGGATTAGTGGGCAGTTTCTGCAGTGTCACCTTCGTTTATCTAGGCGTGGCCTAGCTGCGATCTGTTTTCAGGCTTGAAGACGAAGGGCCGAGCCCGCCGAAGGACGTCGACGATGTGGCACGGTCCGAGCAACTTATGAACGCATGGCTCCTAGGTTGCGTCGAGAAGATGTTTCCCTGGTAAAGCGATGAAAGGCCCCAACAACCCTAAACCCCGAAACTCCGCGATCCCTAGTGGGCGTGGAATCACCCTACTGCTGCAAAGCCTTCCTCCCAGGCTTGTCCGAGTTGCGAGTGCTGAAACCTTCTGCAGAATCCGAGTTGCGAGAGTCCAACTTCCTGTATGACCCAGAACCCGTGAAAACTACAGCGGTGCAGCAGTGCCAGACTGTTCGAGGCTGCAGAGACATCAAACGGAGATTCAGAAAGCGGAACTCCTCTTGAGCACTTCGGCTGCAGACCGAAGAAGCGAGCATCATTGTCTGCCTGCTGCTTATTATGCTAGTGTCAGTTTGAGGACTCTGGATTATCGACCTCATTACTTCATTTCTTCTTCTTGTTTTGGGTGCTTCCGCGGTTGTCGCGAGGTGCTCGCTGGTCGAACCCTGCTCTCTTCAAGGAGCGCCCGGAGCTTTGCGACGAGGTGGGCAGACTTCTCTGGTCCCAGCTGAGATGTGCGAAATCTGCTCACTCACGGACAGAAGGACATGTCGTGTTTTGCGGTAAACCGACAGGCTAAAAAATTGTTTACGGGTTGCAGCAAACCTTATGCCTATGACTGTTCAGGAACGGGGGGGGGCGACTGCTCCCTGTTTCCGGCTGTGAGGTGCTCCAGGTGATGAAGCGGGTCCTGGGATTGGGCCCTGCAGGAAGTGCAAGCTCCGAGACTTCGCAGCCTTAGTCAGCCGGCCGACCACCAGAGCAGTCATAGCAGCAAGCACGGTCATTTCTAGTGGTAATGATTGCATCCAGCAGCAACTCCCTCGGGCTAGAATCGCTTAAGGCGCCGACCCCCAGGGGCCACAAAAACTGGAGCCGAGGAAAGCAAGTCCTTGCTGCTCCTGGGCGAGAGCGGCTCCGGCAAGACCCAGGCCGTCGAATGGTGCCTTCAGCGCCTCAAGGAGGCCCCAACAGCCCACCTAGACCCAACCGCCCCCCCTTTTTCAAAGCTCAGCTGGCCAGGAGCGCTCCAACGTCGTCGCGCTGAGGGCCTTTGGGGTGCCTGGGATGCATGGAGCAAGCCATAGCAAGCTTTTGCCGGCCGAAACCGTCAGGGGGCCTATGATTCCAACATGGAGTGCCTGAAGCACCTGGCAACGCAAGTGGCCGCGCACTGCCTCTCAACGCCGCCCCACTCCTGCCTCGAGGGTTCGATGGAATGGTTTCGTGGCCTCCTCCAGGCAAACGGGGGGCAAACTTTTCCCAGACTCAACTCCGGCCTGCCCTGCCAGGTGAGCTTTAATCATGACAGCGCTGTCGTGATCGTCCTGGATCAGTTCGAGAAGTTTTGCAGATTTACGCGCCAGACGTTGCTGTACAACCTCTTCAACCTCGCGCAGGAAATGAGCCTCTCGGCCCCTTTTGCAAATACCTGCTATATCCTGTTGTCACCTGTCAGACCCGAACCAGCATCTCACCTCCGTCTAACCGCTTCTTGGTAGCGTGGAAGTTTCCTTTGGATGAGGCATTCGGCTGTGCATCGTCGGCATCTCCTCGCAGTTTGATGTTTTATCAAAGCTGGAGACCCTTGTCGTCCTGTCGATGTTTCGTGTGTGTTGCATGCACGGTCTGTTGAATCAACGAGGAGCAGTGAGCTGAGGAAGCGAATTTATTCTCGCTTTCAGATGCACAGCATTTATGCAACCTTGCCTCGGTCAGCAGGTGAACTGCTGCAGATTCTGGAGTCTCGGCTACACCCCCTTTCTTCCCCTACTCCGGCTTTGCATAGTGGAGAGCCCAAGCCGAAAGCAACTGCACAACTCCTATCTGTGGCCGTGCTGAGGAATGCAGACTTCACCTGCCGCACAGCGCTAAGGGTCTGGACGATGCGTTTGTGTCGGAGTTCAACAGCAAAGTGTCAACTGCACTGAGAGCACGTGTACGCTTGAATGACTGGGCCACGCTGCTTGGCTTCAGCTAGCGTCAGGATTCTTGCAGAGGCCAGGCTCGGACCAAGCAACTTGCTGAGGAAGATAGATAGTGGCTTCAAGCCCAGCTGGTTCCTCTGGAGATGCCTGCCAGTGACGAGCTTTCTGCGCGGTTCCGTGGCAGAGAAACGTCCGCGAGTCTGCGGCCAGTTCGATTCTGACGAGCAGCGACAAGAACTTCTCCTGTCAGGTGGGGACTTTTGTGGCGCCGGGTGTCGGGGTTTTTGCCCGCTCTAGTACACACGGCGTCCGGCTTCTTGTCGAGGCTTGGTAGAGTGCGAGCACTTGATTCTCCTCGCGCTCTTCCGGCAATGGGACCACTCGCCGAAAACAGCTCGCAGTTTGAGCACGACGCTCTATGAGCTTAAACGATTGGTGGAAACGGAGAAAGGTCGCGATCTTGGAGGTGTCCTAGCAGACCACACCGACGTCAGCTTGACGGCGGCCTTCAGCCGGCTGCTGGAAATCAAGCTGGTACGATTCTGCCCCGGCTCAACGGAGGACGTTCCGAAGATGTACCGCCCATGTGAAAGCATGGTGGACGAGGTCTATAAGAAGTGGGCGCCTTTGCAGCAACTTCCAACATCTGTCAATTCATCGCTTTGGATATTTTGTATGTATCTGTGCCAAGGTGGCAGACCTGCCAGAAAAGGCACGGAAGGAGACGCCAACCTCACCCAATCCTCTTAGGCTATTGCCGGAGGGAGTTCGGATATGGACCCTCAGAGGGTGCAGGACCTGAGAAATGCCGAGAGCGGTGTGTGAGGAAGTTTGTTTTTTTCTTTAAAGTTCCGGGGGCGCTGAGTTCGGGAACTCTTGCGCGTCTCACGCAGCAATGTTGAAGTCATTGCGGGGTGAAGCGTTGATGCTGGCGAGGTGAGAAAACAAAGAGAGTTGAGGAATCTTCAACCAAGGGACCAAGAGTCCCAGAACTGGCTAGCAGCTAGCTCCCCTCTTTGAAGGGCTTCCGAAGCCTCGAACGTCAACATGGATTTGGAAGCTCTGCAAAGCGCCTTGCTCGATTTCAGGTCAGCTTCTGAGCTTCCTCAGGCACGCCAGGGATCGCCAGGGTGCGGAGAAGGGAGAGGGAAGGCATGATGGCAATGCTCCGATGCTGGGAAACAATGACCATGGGTTGTAAGGCTGACTCAAGCATTTTGGGATCTGGTCGAAAGTCTAGGTGCGTACAAAGGCGGCAGCAGCAGCAATATCCAGCGATGGCAGCAATAGCAGCACTGAAAGCACTTACAGCAGCAACAACAAAACCACAACCACGAACACAGCATCTCAACAAAGAAGCAACCACAACAACAGCAGTGGTAAATGTGGGGTTGATTCCCGCTGCAGGCTTGCCCACTTTCTCGCCGCCGAAGTGATTGAGCTGAAAGCAGTCAAAACACAGCTGCCGTTCAGGTTTTCCAGGGCAACTTTCCTGGCCAAGCTTGTTGCCCCAATGCGTGTAGGGTTTGGGACTGGCCGTCTCTTGGCCTTTCGTGCTGGCGGCTGGCGTGCCGCGGATGCAGTGACGAATCGGAGGCCACGCGGCCAAGACGTTTGTTCGATGGCTGTCGGATCAAGCATGGGAATATCATGTGGCCACCAAGTACACCGATTGACATGTGAATCTGGCAGCACCGGTGTCCCACAAGCCTCCGCTAAGTGCTTCCATGCGGATGTGCATCTTGTCCCCAGAACCGCATGAAACCTCAGCCATAAACTCCCCACAGCTGCAACTGATCGGTGTTCATGCACTCGCCCAGAGCCTTCGCACATGGCCAATGCCAAAACTGGGGCGATAAACAACTATTATACCCATTCCAACACCACCACAGGACAAGCACTGACAAGAACAAAAGCCGAGGGCAGCAGAGATAACTGAGATCATATAATCCCGGCACCTACCAAGTCGTAGGTAAGTTAAGCATTGCTCCGAGGCCCCCGGGGCTAACACAAGATCCTCGGGCCGTTTAGCGGGTGGAATTTCGAGGCTTTCTAGGGCTCCGAGTTCGAGTTGGAAGCCATGGCGCCATGCTCGGAGAGAGCCTCGGAGTCGATGAAGATGTGAGCCGATCGGAGATGCGGGGGTTCTGCTTCGAGGGCTCCGGAAGGTCTTGCTAAGGAGGCGCGGGAGTGGTTTGCGTCTCGTCCGCAGCCCACGCTCCAGCTCAAGACCGGGCCTGCCGTAGGGGTCTTTGCCGGACGGCTGGACATCACACGATCACACCAACGAACCAAACCCAAAGCCAGCATATGCCAGAATTAAGCCTTTCAGATGCTCAGCGCCTGCGCAACCATGGACTCCTCGCCGACACCCTGAGACAGATGCAGTGGGTTTCAAGTATCTGGTCTTCAGGCAGGGATCAAATACAAGCGTGGCTAAACGCATCGGCATTGCCCTCGTCCAGGTGCCAACACCAAGCCATATCGACCCCTCCTTCCCGGACCAGGGCCAAGTGAGACACAGCCACTCGGCGAACCGCTCGTCCTGTGACTTCATATCCCAAGCTGTTGCAGGCCTAGCGCAGAGCGGGCCAGTGAGGCAGAGGCAGAAAGACGTCGTCTCTTGGAAAAGAAGGGAGGTCAAAGGCTGCTGTTGCTCAGTGACCTTGCGCTTTCAGCCAAGGAGTCGCCCTGAATTGGCTCCTACAGGGCAACGAAGATGATGTCCGAAAGGTGCTCATTGATCTGGCTGAACGGAAAGCTTGGCTCCTTCAGCAGGCAAGCGATTCCTTCTGTGAGCACAGCCAGGGAAACATGCCTCGGCCTTCCTGAAAATGAAGAGCGAATCTGTCTGGTTTTGTGTGTTCCGGCACCATATACCTACAAATCTATGAACATATATATATATATATAAGTATTTATGATACCAACACACTCATTTATTGACGTGTTTGTTGATCTGTTTATACAGACAGGGAATGCGCGTACAGACAGACACAAGCCGACAGAGACAGACAGACAGACAGACAGAGACAGGGGTAGAGACAGAGACAGAGACAGAGACAGAGACAGAGACAGAGACACAGACACAGACACAGACACAGACACAGACAGACAGACAGACGGACAGACAGACAGACAGACAGACAGATACAGACAGACAGACAGAGACAGACAGACAGAGACAGACAGACAGAGACAGACAGACAGAGACAGACAGACAGAGACAGACAGACAGACACAGACAGACAGACAGAGACAGACAGACAGAGACAGAAAGACAGACAGAGACAGACAGACAGAGACAGAAAGACAGACACAGACAGACAGACACAGACAGGCAGACA